GCTGTGTAACAAAACAAGGTGGCAGTATCAGTATGATAAGAACCCTTTGTAATCATGGAACATGCAGATTGGGTGGTGTTCTTATTTTACAAGCTGTCACAAGGTGAGCAAAATAGACAGATAATATTTTACTGCTCAGATGTGAAACTGTGAATTATAAGTGTCTTTAAAAAATGCCAAGATGGTTTAATAACCTTGTTCAAACTTATTTGTATATACAAGTCTGTAAAAAAGAAATGTACAAAAACCTAAAAAAAAAGTCAATATAACCTGTTTCTTTAGCTCAGAAAGCCAGAGGGTAAAAGGGGAAATGCCCTCTGGGCCAACACTGGGGTGAAGACAATGCCCTTCAAGATCCACTTGCTTAATAAAGAAGTAATTTAATTGATGTCACTGTCCCTATAGATATCATTTCACTGTTACAGTTCTCACAAAAAGGAATAGTAGACTACCTTCCTTGTGGAAGATAAAACTGATGAATTCTTGCTTCAACCTCTGCATTCTTGCCATATGTTCCTCTTACAAGAAAAATCAGATACACTGCTACTGTGAAGCATTCAGCATTCCTAAAGAAGACTGTTCTACACTGGATTTTATTAGGACTGGTTCATATTAGGAAGTAATTGAGACTTGATGTAAAGAAAACTGTGTATTACATCCATTGATTCGATTGGATGACCTAATCCCTAACCAACTTTACATTTACCTACTGGCATCCAAGCTAGCTGTTGTCGGAAACCTGCTCTGGAAGAAATAAAGAGGCTGCTACTGCTGATCACTTTCTGAGAATGCTAGCTGCCCGGCTGTCTTGCTTTAAGGAATGGTCAGCAATAGAAACCTACATACTTCTCTTAGTGCCTTACAAAAAAGAAACATATTGTAATACTTACTCCCCAACAGCAGCTTTATTAGTTTCCTGCCTATTTCCCCCTTTTTGTCTGGACAAAGCCACTGGCTGTCCTTGCCTGGAAACCAATGCTAGGTTCACATCTGTGTGGGTGATTACTGCTGCACGACCACCCACACAGAAAAATGCAGGAAATGTGTGGCTGCCATTAATCTAAATGGCAGGCCGCACACACTGGAAATCTCTCCTGCACTGGGAGCAGCACTGCACTTGCACTCCTGATTCAATTACTAATTGAATGGATTGTTTATGTTTGTCCTCAAATTTATATAGTTTTTGTAAAACTAAAAGGGGATTGTAAAAGCAGATTGAAGAGAGTATGGCCAGCATAAAGTAGTATTAAACCCTCAGAATTTTTTTTAGTTTAACACACTGAGCACAATAAATCAAACATTCCCCAGCAAACTTTTTGTTGAAATTGTTACCCTGACACTTGCAATTTCAATACTGCTAGCTCCTGCTTATTCAGTGCTGCGTCGCTGAACTTCTGCTCTTCACAGGAAAGAGTTAACTGTGGACAGAGCGGTCTTGTGCCAATCTGTTAGTTTGGAAAATGAAAGGGGGGGGGGGGGGAGCAGGGGGTATCTTGCCATCTAAGGTTACAGGGCTGTGTGTTTCTATTGATGCACACAGTGTAGGGTGACACAGCTCTAGTACCAGCTTAAACAATAACATAGGTGAGGATTAAAAAATAAAGAAGCTTGCCGAAATTGTTATATTATTTTCGCACCCTCCCAGTGCGGGTTCCCCCTCATTTTCTTCGGTTGCTTCAGGCGAAGTTTATGCGTTTTATCTGGGCCAATAAGCATCCCAGAGTTTCTAGAAATACGCTCTTTGCTCATAGACTCCAAGGTGGTCTTGGGGTACCCAATGTAACTAAGTATTATCAGGCGAGCCAAATTGCCCCGCTGTCTATGTTGCACGCTTCCTCCGACGTTCCTCTCTGGGTCCTGCTGGAACTACCTAATTGTGCCCCTATCGCACTATCGACACTTCTATGGCTTCCCCCTGCCCTGCGTCCTACGGCGCTGAGTCCGATGTTGCTCCATGGCCTACGAGTCTGGGACTCAGTACGTTACTCCAGTGGTCTGATGTCGCCTTTCTTGCCCTTGCTTCCAATCGTTAATAACCCTCTTTTCCCGCCGGTCTAGATCACCCGAGGGCATTTTCTTGGTGGGTGGCTCAAGGTTTCTCACAGGTGCAACACTTTTTGATTTTTCGGTCCTTTCCCACCTGGAATGTCCTCCGGGAGTCTCGGGATGTTCCCCCAGCGGAATTTTTTCGGTACCTTCAGTTGCGGCACTGGCTACTCTCGCTGAGGGCCACTTCTGCTTTCCCATATCAGAAATCTGCCTTTGAACGGCTTTGCCAGCAGCGTCCGGGCGCCCCAGGCCTTATCTCCCTTCTTTACGCAGCTTTGAACAGATGCTCGTCGCACACTTCTCTTTCATATGTAGTTCAGTGGGAACGCGACCTGGGAGTGGCTGTGGATCCGGAGGACTGGAATAAAGCCTGGTCACTCATAGCTAAATGTTCGTTTAATACGACCACGCTGGAAGCAGCCTATAAGGTATTGTTTCGTTGGTATTGGGTGCCGGCTCGTTTGGCCCAGGCTAACCCTGCCTGTAGTGATCGATGTTTTCGGGGTTGTGGCCATCGTGGCGATGTACTGCATATCTGATGGTCATGCCCGAGGTTGGTTCGTTTTTGGTCTCGTGTGTTTGGCCTCCTTTTCACTTTGTTTCATCTCTCCATACGCCGGGATGCTCGGTATGCTTTGCTTCATTGCCCCATACCGGGCCTCTTGGCTCGTCAGCAGCGGTTGGCTTCCTATTTGTTTTTATCGGCCACTAGGACAATTGCCCAGGCCTGGAAGAGTCCGTTTGTACTTTTTCAGGGGGTGCGGGATCGTATGACTACTATGATGCTCAATGAACAGATGTCGAGTATATGCAACGACTCTCAACATAAATTTTTGACAATATGGGAGCCGTGGTTGCAATATGCCTTTCCCCACACTCCCCCCTGCCAGTATAGGGAGGTGAAGGAGTTTTGTATTGGCGCTCATGGACCCTTGCTCTTTGTGTGTGTTTTTTTTTTTTTTTTTTTCTCTTTCTTTCTTCTCTGCTTTTCTTCTTTCCTTTTCTGTTTGTTTTGATGTGACAGTGGACAGCTGTCTTTAGGTGCGATAATCTGGGTTTCACTGATGTTATTGTAACCTATGTGCCACTGATAGCCCCTGCGCGGGCATACGTTTTGCCTTATTGGAATTAGAGCGTTGTCTGCTCTATTATGCATTTTCTATCGGTGCAATTGATAGCCCCTGCGTGGGCGTGTTTTGTTGCCTCTGTTTTATACTGTTTAAAATTAATAAAAACCATTGAAATACAAAAAATAAAGAAGCTGCATACTCAGTACTCAATGAAATCGGCTACTAAAAGTGCTTAAAAAACTGAGGGTTTAACATCATATTACAATATTTGCAAAGCTAGACCTGTGACTCTTGACTTTTAACCTGTCGTTATGTCTTAATGTAACGCTTACAATTAAACTAACCCCAATACCCTAATGCTGAAAAACACTTTTCGGTTGTTTTGTTTTTTAATGTTTATTTAGAAGACTAGGTTATAGGATTAGCTGCTACCCTTCTGACATGCAGCACTTCACAACCTAATACTTTTGACTGGAGTCATTTGTTTTCTAAAAAGTAGATTTTTGCATCTGGCAGAGTTTTAATAAAATGTACAGCATTCGGAAACTTTCCAGACTCCCTTCCTTGTCTTGTCCCAGAAAAATGATAGCCGAGATCTTACTGGCTGCTATAGGTGATAGCTCTACTCCCTTTCACTAAATTTAGGTTTGCAAATATTAATGATCTAAGTAAGTTCACCCCTACATTTAAGACATAGCATTTTCCATTAGCACAAGCAACATTTCACTCACACACTGGAATGATATAGTGTTCCAATGCTCCTGTGTCAAGACATGCTTTTCTGACAGTTTTAAATGGAAGTTCTTCCTTTAAATAGAGGGACCTAGAAAAGAACCCCATTTTGTATAATAGAAAATAAACTGCAGAAATACAATGATATATCAGGTATATCACGTCACATTGTAGCCCTTTAGTGCTCTCCAGTGAAATACAGCTGAAATAGTCATTTGAACAGTTCATCTGCCAAAATATCTGTTTGGATGCTCTTGTGTTTCATTCAGCCCTGCCACTTTGTGAGCCAACCAGGTGAAGCTATCCTTCACTATTGCACTCATGCAGCATCCCTGGTCACCTGCTTGGGTTTATACAAGAGCATCATTATTGTGTCCTTTTATAAAGAAAATGTTTTTTTAATTTATACATAATTGGGATTTTTTTCTATTTGCTGGAGTTTTGCCTGTAAATATGGCTCTTCATGATTCTTTTCTAAATTTGCCAATTGAGCACAATTTACTGTTATGACCAGGATGGCATTATAGTGTATATAACAGTTTACAGATGTTACAGAGGACTAAACAGATCATCAAGAATTGCTAGGGCTGCACCTTCTGTGCAATTCAGGATCAGCTAATTACTAATGGTTTATCACCAATGTCTAAATACTACACCTCCAAGAGGAATAAGGGAGCCACTGGCATAACCCAACCACAACCAGGAACAAGGAATTGACCTAGTTTAATAATACACCAATGGCTGCACCATAATTCTGAGGATTTTCTCTCTGGGAATAGTAGTCCCATGTACAGGCTGAGCTGTTATTTCACATTCAGTATTCATGTTTCATAAACAGTTTTTTTGTATTGCTGTATAATACAGGAAGCTCTGTGCCATCAAGTCAAAAGAGGGCTTGGTGATGTCATGTCAACTCTAGCTCAAGCTTCAGGCCTATGATAGAAAAATGGTGAGGCCTTTGGTGAAGAAGCATAACAGAAATGTGGCACACAGGTGTGATCCTATCACAAAAATATTCCTTAAGAAATGTCCTCAGGGTTCACATGTCATGAAATGATAATCTAACACACGAAAATTAAAGTCTCTTGCTTCATTTAAAACTTGTGCTCTTTGACCAATGACCGCAGTTGGTGTTGTGTTCTGACAGGGTCACGCGTGCTCTAGAATTGGCTCCTCGTTGCTGACCTCCAGTCCATTCTTCCTTAAAAGTGTCTGTTTCTGAAGCCCTTTTAGCTTTACCAGAAGGTCTTGAATGAATTCCTGTATACAAGAAAAAAAAAGAAAAAGAAAAAATTCACTATTCATGCTGATACTTATTTTAGTGATGTAATCAATAAAATTTCAAAACACTTCTTTAAAAAAATTACTCAAATTAGATGCAGCAGTTTGGAGAACAGGTGGATAGTAATTGCTTCAAATCTGTAGACTTTGCATAGCTTTCTGTCGGGAATTTTGTCCAGAGATGTATCCATTTCTTACTAAATTCATTTTATAATCATCTCAACACATTTACATAGTGTTTTTTAAGACAGCTTATTCATTTGGTAGAAATTCTAAATGATTCTAGTTTTATTTTATAAGTGATCCATAGGCCCCTTTCGACCAGGCCTTCCGATGCAAATCTCCTGATGATTTTTCAGGTGGACCTGATCGGAAGCTCCATGTTAGATTATAGGTGTGAGGTGGGTCCCTTTTGAGAACATGCGTTTGCACAAAACGCGTCAGTGGGAAGCCTACATGCTGATGTCACGCTGCCAAGTCCATGCGATGGTCCGGCGGCCATCTTTGTGAGTGTTTGTTTTAATATAAAATAGGGGGTGCAGCGCTATAGTAAACATAATCACATGTGTAAAATATGCATATATAAATACGAATAAAAATGAGAATATCAGTAAAAGTGACTCGTGACAAAATGCTTATCAAATGAATAAAGTGACTCAATGGGGTTTATTTACTAAAGCTGGAGAGTGCAAAATCAGACTCACTTCTGCATAGAAACCAATCAGCTTCCAGGTTTCATTGCCAAAGCTTCATTGGACAAGCTGAGGTTAGAAGCTGATTGGTTTCTATGCAGAAGGGAGTCTGATTTTGGACTCTCCAGCTTTAGTAAATAAACCCGAATGTGTCAAAATAACTTTGTCACTATTTAGTGACCAAAAGTGCATAAATAAAGTGCTGGAAATAGTAATCAAAACATATACTCCATAGTGCGTGTAAGATCCTGGAAGATCAAGTGTGTGGAAGATCATGAAGATTTCCAATAACTGGTGGTCTTATCCAGTAAGGTGGTGATGTGACCAAATGTATAAAGACTGCACACTCACCAGATGCGCAATCAATAAGCGCATTTAGAGATAACACTCTCAGTGGTAAACTGGAGGCCCCTTTAAGGTAGGTATGGTCTGGTCTAATATCCCTCACTGCGCTGTCAGCAATGGCTCTGCCTTTCTCTCATGTAGCTCTGTGGGTGGTGAGAAAGCTCACCAGAAGCACTCAGTGCCGTCAAAGCTGCAGAAGGTTTCCATAATGGGGCAGAGTAGGTTCCCAGCCGGCTCCGGGTACCTCACACACACACACAAGCCGGATCCTCGCTACATAACACTGCATCGCCTGCTACTGCTGTTGCCGGCAAAAAGTGAGCTCAAAAAGGCTTAAAGTTTTTTCACCTTCATGGATTGTATTCATGAAGGTAAAAAACCTTCTGCGTGCAGTGCCCCCCCCAGCCCCTCCAACACTCACCTGAGCCTCTGGTTTAAAATGCGGCAGAAAACTAAATGGACATGGAAATCTCAAAAGTCATGTCTATTCGAATCTAATCATGGATCCTATGCTGGTCAGATTGAATTGTGTCCATATAAAAGGAGCCTAAAGGTACCCTTACTCAGACCTTTGCCTTCAGGCTCTACTTTACCTAACACACACTCTTACATACTATTACAGTGTTAGTGAACTGTGATGATGAATGAATGTTATTTGTTCTCTTTTTGTCTGTAGTACACTAATATGTAGTGCCAGCCCCGAAGGAGCCGCTTGGTAACTCTGGGTTCTCTGTTCTGTGCTTGACTTCAAGAACAACCTCGCCCCTCTGGCACACCTGGTTGACTATAAAATCACTGCAAGCATGGATAAATACACAAATGTAAAATACCTTTAACCTGGCTGTGGGTTACTACCAGTAAAAATACACATACCTGTTTAGTGGTAAATGCTCTTAAGTTATTGATACAGGTTAGAATAAATGGCAAATTCAAATTAAAGGAGCACACAGCTGATAGTTTACTCTGTCTAGCAGACTATGTTATAGTCTATGTTAGATTGGCAAAAATTAGATTTTATACCCCTAACTAGATTCAGGTGGGTAAGTCAGTAAATCATCAATAATCAATATTAGTAAACATTAAATGCAATATAAGAGCTGATTCACACATGTGGGGTGTGGATTGAAGCTCAGGTTTCACAGCCAATTGACACAATTTTCACACGACGGAATAGAATTTCAGAACTGATGTATTGTATTGTATTTTCTAACGAAAACTGTATTGATTAAACGAAATTCGTTTCTTCTGGTATTGTATGAGAAAAAATTTTTTGTTCATCCCTTTGGATAATTTCAAATGAACTGTCATGATTGGTTCTCGAAAGTTGTGTACTATGGATCAGAATATTGTACGATTACTTTGAAAGCAGTATTTTTTTGTACAATTATCTGATTGTGTGTATGAGGCATAAATATGTTAAAAAAACACTTGTTGACCCTGCCAGAAAATCCTTTAGGACTGCTAAGCTGTAATATTTTAAATTTTCTTTTGTTTTTAGGTTTAGGTATGCTTTATAGAGACTCTGCTGCTTTGGCCATTCAGGACAAAGTAACAGAGTACCCTTAAAGCCCACCTTTAAACCACTTATACTCATTTTCCTGCACTCCCCTGCAGCTCTGTCAGAGCCGCCAAAGAGTGCTTTTAGTGCTGAATCACTTACCTACTAACAACGCAGCAAGCAACGCCAGAGGTGAGTCAGAACTCATAATCCACATACTTGTTCCAGGTCAGAGATTCAAAAACTACTGAAGCCAGCAGGTCAACACAACCAGGGAACTAGCATTTTATAGATCAAGAAAAGAACAGCAGTGGCCATCTACATATTTCTCAAATGGGTTTCTTTTAAAAGTATTTTTCCTAAAGATCTTTATGTAGCTACATAATACACTTAGCAGTCAGCTTGCTTGTAAAGAAGTGGATAAACAGTTAGAATTTGAAAAATGCTGTCTGGTTGGATCAACTCTTACGGTAAAAAAACAAACGGAAGAATTTTAAATTCCTCTCTACCCTCTAGAAAGGCTACCTTCTTCCCCATACAGCATGACTTGCACATATTCTACAGAAAACGTTTAACTTGAATATTTATAGCAAGTTACATGGTAAAAGTTACAAATCTGGCCATGTGACACCAGCACAACAATGACACCAAAATGAATCAGAGTTGTAAAGAGTAATATTTAGTTCACTGGAAAAATGACATCAGTGGGGGCAGATCCAAATAGAACAGCTCTCAATGAACTGAGTAGGCATTGGATGTGAAGCACTTCTAATAATATGCACTTACTATTGAACAGAGACTTTCCATCAACTTAACACATTTAAATATGAAAAATTGGATTTTTGACTTACCAGTAAAATTGCTTTCTCGAAGTACAGTACAGCGCCCAGAGAATATTGGTCTTAACCATAGGTTATATGCAGCTACCTTTAGGTGACTGGACACTGGCAGAAAAGATGCAAGAACATCCCCTACGTAACCCACTCTCCCCCACCCCCAGCAAATCTTAGTTTTGTAGTAAGCAATAGGGAGAGTATAAGGAATAGAGGGAGGGACTTGTGTCCTGTACTAAACTCCGAGAAAAGGATTTTACTGGTAACGTACAAAATACCAATTTCTTAGTCATGCAGTATAGGACATGGGTGGGTAAAACGTCAACAGGCCCAAGTAACAAATTTGTCATAAGGGGGTTTGACAGAATTTAGAGAGCAGCTTGCAACACCTTACGTTCAAAAACAGGCATCAAAGGAGTCTTGAGTATCAACCTGGTAGAACAGATGGCTGATGCTGAAAATCCCATGAAGCATTATTTGAACTGGTAGGTTTAGACCATAAATTTGGGTGATGACTTGTCTAATTCACTTTGCAATGATGGCATTAGAAACAGGGAGCAGAGCCCCCCCCCCCCAAAAAAAAAAAACCTTTAGAAAGGACAAAGAAGGTATCCAATTTTCAAAAAGAGGTTGTAGCCAAGAGGTAGATTTTAACAGCATTTGCCATATCAAGACAGTGAAGGAAAACTTCCTTGTAATGTTTCAGAGTCGAAAAAATGAGCAGAAGGCTATATCCTGGCAGAGGTGGCAGTAGCAAACCACCTTAGGGAGTGTTATGCCTACGAAATGTGTTGGTCTTGGACCCTTTGTTTCTTGGGTAATTTTTACAATAAAGCATCATTGCCCAGATGCCAGGAGCATGAGAAGTGACTGATGTCATTTCTCTAGGCTAAAGGAACAGGGTCACCATCAAATCACAAGACATTAGAATGCTTAAAGCAGATAAGAACTTGTTTGTGGGATAGAATGTGTTTGTGACATCTAGAAATGTTACATTAGACTGCTTAAATTAGATAAGAATTGTTTGTGTAATTAAAGATGTCTACTTGCTTGAGAAGTTAGAAATCATTTAGTTTAAGGTAGATACGAAGCTGATCTGAAGCAAAAGGTGTGATATTCTTAGATAACATTGTTTGTTCAATATAGTGGCTGGGTGTTACTCTGTTATCCTCACAGAGCCTTTCTGCTAGCTCCTCCTAGAGTGAGTGTGGCACCCACCCACTTCAGGAAAGCTGCCAGAAAAAGGGTTTAGAAACAGGGAGCTTAAGCGTAATCAATGGGAGCCTTCCTATGCAGACGAGGACGCTCTTGACTCTGGGACTCTTGCCAAGGTTATATGGGCTCATCGATTAGTCGCGTTTATGGCTTCCCTGTGACCCCTTGTGCATTATGGTTCTGATGGGGTCTGTTCCTTCCCGTCTACCCATCGCTTTGGTAATGTATTAATTCTATGCTGTGACACTGTCAAAAAATGTGTCCATTTCATGTTGTAATGCTCACATTATTATTGTTGTGTGTTATTATGCAGATTGTGAGGACTATATATTCTCCTGTGTGTCGAGTGATAATAAAAGTGGAGGTTTTGACAGTGCAAGAATATTGCAGTTGGAT